GCAGTGAAGAGTCCATTATGCAGGCTGCCCTGCACTTGGGGCCGGTCGGGCCAACTTACCACGTGGAGTGTGCTGTTGTAGTCTAGTAGCGATTTCCTCAGCCAAACCGTCATGTCCATGCAGAGCGATTACGGGGATGTGCTTACTATGGCGACCCGCGTTTGCGTGGTGCAGTTGTTTTCTTGGATTATCATAGATAAACACTCGTCAATGTCGGAGAATAAATGTTTAAAAAGTTGTCTGGATGTTGAGTGATTATTATAAACGGGAATCCCCAAGTTATGAAGTCAAGAAGCACGGAAAATGCGTATATTACAATAAACTTAACTTGCTCGGCTGTGGCGACATGGATTATTTGCCCACTTTTTATTTATTTTCGTGGTGTAATTTGGCACACAAAAAATCATGAATGAAAATACTACATGCAGTATTTTGTTACCGAAAGGTTTCTCACAATCAACGAATAAAACACTGCTTAAATTGTACGTGTATTTTCATGTAGCAAATCTCGTCTTTTCGCCAATTGTGTTCGGTGTGACATATCGGGTCAGTTTTCACTGGGGTTTCTGATGACATGTTACTTTCTGTGGTCACATAGTTGTTGGAAAAAGTCAGTGATTGGACTATCCATGAATGGGCATGCAGTAGCAGTCAGGATGTCGCGTTAGGTGCAGATGCAGTGTGTGCTTCGGTATGCAGTGCGGCATGCACGAGGTCCTGTGGCGGTTTTTGAAGAGATTTGGTAATTTTTTTTTGATCAGCGTCACAAAAACGTCAAGATAACCGGATACAAGGCATTTATTCCGAAATCACGGTACATACATTTGCCGATACATGCAAACGTAATTTACATACATGACAACATGTGGATACATGTTCATGTACATGTGCACATATGCGGTGCACATGTTGAGCATCCATCCAAGTGGGTTAATTTAAGTTTTAAACGCTTATAACTTATAATATAAGACATGTTAGAGAGCGCTATAACGGCAATCTACTGTAATTCAGCTGTTCGGTGTTTAGTGCTTGTCTCCGACCTCCAGCATAGCCAGCTTTGATTTCTCCTGTCGCATTGTATTTTGCTCAAAACTGAGAAACATACTGCGTTGAAATTTTAATGCTGTCTTCCTCAAGTAATCTGAATATTCCTGAGAATTAAGAACATTGTCTCTCAGACTGATTTTCCTCCACTTTCCATATTCAGAGATTTGCATGTTTGAAACCACAGAGAACGAAAACTTCCTGATGTCTACATGTACATGCACAAATACTACCAAATGAAGAAAGCTTGCAAAATTGTTTTAAAGGAAGAAAGCTTGCAAAATTATTTCCCCACTACCAGAGAAAATCTGTGAAAATCTTTTCCCACTTGTGAGAAAAAGGGCGAAAATCTTTTCTCACTTGTGGGAAAATCTGTGAAAATCATTCCCCACTTGTGGGAAAATTCTGTGAAAATTTTGTCCCACTTGTGTGAAAAAGTGTGAAAATATTTTCCCACTTTTGGCACACTTTTTCACAATTTGTGAAATGAAAAGGAATTCCCTGAGAAGAGAAAAATGTGTTAACTTTCAATTGCAATGTACTGTACCTCTCTGGTGAGTTTGGTCTTTATTTACCTCCCAATGCATAAATTTGGTACTACCTTTAAGTATGTGTGGATATTTTTTGTGTTCATGACTATTATTTCATGTCGTAGCCAACCCTCCTAGATCGGTGCCACTCTGCATATGTAGTGACTGTTTGGGTAGGTTGAGCGCAGTAGACTCCTCCCCCACATTTAGTGTGGGTTGGGTCTACTAGAGAATACCTACCCAAACAGTCCTCTCCCGTCCACTTTTGCTCCGACTCTTTGATTTTGCTTTCAAAAAGAAGGACAATCATGGGGGCAAAGCCGCGTTGCACTGTGGGAGGTCAGGGTGAACTACACACGATCAAATCCTTTCAGCGAACAATAATAGGCGCCTGGGAAATTTCCAAATGTAGTGACTGTTTGGGTAGGTATTTTCTAGTAGACCCAACCCACACTAAATGTGGGGAGGAATTCCCAGGGTCCCATCCAAAATTGAGCAAGAAGACTGTCATGTACTTCTCATCGCTCCGCGTTGGCCACGCCAACCACAGTTTCCTTACCTGACCAGACTACAGGTGGAGTCACTGATAATACTGCCAGACAGGCGGTACATCCTACAGCAATGGAAGTTGTATGTCCTGTGCCCCGGGCCAATGGATCTACATGTGACATGCTGGCCCTGACAAGAGTATGACGCCTTTCCACCTGTACAGTTTACAACAGCAGAATACAGCATTTACATCTTAGTGTGATGACCAGGCAAGAGCTCCAATTGAAGTGCTTGTAAGCACCATAGCCAATTTTTTCATGCATCTTTTCTACTCCTGCGTCCAAGTAGCTACAGTTTGCAACGACCACTTTGCAATCTCTGCCTTTACACAACAGCTTCATTGACGGCTTGTCTGTCTCAGATAATGCTATAAAACACCTCCTTCTTGGGATGTTCATTGAACGCCTTCCTACACAACACCTCATCCCATCCTTGGACCTAACTTGTGTCCTCCAACTTCTTACTGGCCCTCCTTTCGAGCCACTCCGTGATACATCTTTACTACACCTGTCCTGGAAGCTGCAGTGAACGTCCTATGCTATCCATTGCTGAGGCCACATCTGCTAGGAACTCCATTCCAGCTTTGGGTTTCCTCACAAAGAACCAGACTTCACCATTCCAACCACTAGACATCTTCATTCTCAACATCGCATCACACTCAGGGACAACTGATGATAAACTATGGTGCCCAGTTCAGACTCTCAAATGGTACTTGGCACAAACCAAGAGAACTAGGGAGAAGACATCACAACTATTTGTGATATCAGTCAAACCCATTGGCCAGCATCCAATGGACTGTTTCAACCATTGAATTGACTGACCTTGTTTGACAATCAAAGTCTCTGGCTTATCTGAGCTCATGCCAGAGTGGTATTTACCTCCTGAACCTACTTTTGGGGGTGTTGCCATTTCGGACATAAGCAAAGCAGCTAGATGAAATCACCCATTACTGTTACCTTATGCTGCCTGAATGGCATCTTGCAAATGGACTGTGCTCATGGAAAGACAATCTTCACATCAGCAGTATTGAAGGCAAGGGGTTCTTCGCCAGGACTGACTGCTGTTACCTCAATGATCACTCGTATGTTCATCCTCTCTTGTGCACTTACGATTTATCCGGCGCATCCTCACCAACCCCTTTAGGATTAATGCTACGCCGCATATTTAGGACTATTTGGGTTGGTTAAACACAATGGACTCTTCCCCCACAGAAGTGTTGGATGACTCAACTAGAGAATACCTACCCAAACAGTGTGCGCCCATCTGCCCTCCCCATGCTGGCTCAGACTCTCAAACACTTTCAAAAACAGACAAACATATGGTATTTAAGGGCGCACAAGAGTTGATCAAGTTTTTAGCAAATGGCAAAAGGCACTGAGGGAAATTTGCATATTTAGGAGTGTTTGCCTAGGCATTCTCTAGTTAACTCATCCCACACTTCTTTTGGGGAGGATTTAATGTCTTAATTTTTGTGTCCAGTTTTGGATGTTTATGAGGAGCCTCAGGACTTTTGAGTGTGCTGGATATGATTATTAATAGCTTCTTAAGCCAGTCACACAAAACAAGTTTTCCAAGAATATTAATGATTTATTTTAATGGGCCAATCACAAGCTGTTGAGTAACATGTGACAACATGTACATCGTACAGATTGGTGTCTGGTTGCAAAATGATGACAAGGGTGAATGCTTGTAACTTTTTAAAATTTGATTGTGTTTACAGGTATTTCAATCAGATCTTGTAGGCAATGGGGACCGAATCATGACATTTGTATGAAGAACAAGTGGGAGCCTTCAACACAGTGGTACAAACTGAGAAATTGAGGACTTTAACCCACGGCAATGGTACATGATTGCATGGTTCCTTCGCGGATGGTGCAGCCATTTATTAACTGACCAAGGGAATGTGGTTTTTGCTATGGGTTTTATCGCCATTACCATAATGATTTTCACTGACTTGGACAAACCCAAGAATGCCCTGATTTCGCGCGCATTCTTCACAATCCTACTGACTTTGATTTTGCTCTTACAAAAAACATCTGAAATGTCAGATAAAGGCTCTCAATCTGAAAAAAAGGCCAACATCGAAAGAGGAGGTGGTGAAGGCTTTGTTGCAATCTGGGCTGACAGCTCCATCCAAACCCAGCTTGATGGCACGACAAGAAACAGCAAGGTGTTTCTCAAAATAAGCAATTTGACCCGTGTCGGACACGCGAGTGTGGCGCAATACATAGGTCCAAACATTACATGTGTAGCAAAAATGCCAGTGCCGTGTGAAAACGGAGCGGAATTGAACCGGATTGGAACTGTGTAGATTTTGACACGGATCGGACATTCATAGTGTGAAAAGGCCTTTAGATACCTTACCTAGGGCTTCAACCCCTGAGTTCTGCCTGTTGGAATTCTCCCCAAATGCCCCAAGCCACTCAAGAGTTGGGGAAGGGGGGCTTGCCTGGGTCAGCTGCTCAGCGCGGATGTTATTTGGACCAGATGTCTTCCCTGGTTTAGGGTGTTAAGGGCAGAGGTGGAGAACTCTTGTGCAAGATAATGATTGTGGCTAAAGTTTTATTCTCTATGGCTTTCTGACTTGAGCAAATGAAGTCATTACAGTCAACTGCTTCTCTCCATCTCCATCCTATCTTGCA